GGTGGTTGTCCAATCTTGCAAATTGGAAATTATTATCAGATTTAAGGGGAAGATGAATATCCTTATTGTTAAAATTCACAATTAATGTCTGTATTGCAATTGAAATTCATCTAATTAGAATGCGATAAAATATATGATGTTTACAGTGACCTATCAATTGTAGATTCCATTTACTAATAAATTCAAAACTCTCTATATGGAGTAATATAATTCTATCAATGTTATATTGATAGTCTCAATATCAAATAAGCCCAATTTTGATACCCTATTCTCAAATGAGTCTATTATTATATGAGATCATGCGAAACGATTAGAAAATTATTATATTTATGCAATCAGATGTGCCATCACATATGACCTTCGTTATTTGTCTTTTTAAGAGTTTTAGATTTCTTAAGGCTAAAAGAACTAAAGTGCTTAGAACTTTTTATTTAGCCTAGGATAGGACACCCTGTTTTGGTTTGTTATAAGTGGTTGGTGGCATTGTTACTTTTCGTATTTTTTTCTCCTTTTTCTTTTCGTTTATTTCGTTTCTTCTATTTTTGGTTTTTTTATTTTCTCACTTTTTAGGTTGTTTAGTAGTTGTGTTTCGTAATAAGTTACACGAGGATGCAGCTTATAAATTTAGCAGTATGAAAGGTTTTGTTTTAGTGAAACTTTTGGATAATAAAAAATGAAATTTAACTTCTAATATCACTCCTAGTGTGTGTAAGTTACCAGGATTTGTCTAATCATTTATTGATATAGAAAACTAAATTCCCATATTATACTTATTATTTCAAAGTTGGGTCAGTTATTAATTTTGATTGATAATTCGATTTTTAAGTTTAAATGAATTGAATATTGATTTAAATTTAAATCAATCAGTCATAAATTTTTTGGAGAAGGGTACACTGGGGAAAAAAATTTAAATATTGATTTTCCAAGAGGAGGCTAAGATCTTGAAATTATATTTCTACTTTTGGATCTTTATTTGTTATAAAAACTTTCTTTTATTAGAAAAGTACGATAAATGAATTAGAATTATTATACCATAAATTAATCATAATATTTTTATAACAAATATTCAATTGGTTTAGTAAGGATATTCAGAAACATAACTTCCAAATCCAGGATAATCACCATAGAAACCATCTCCCGGGTCACCATAACCTCCATAGACTGGAAAGCCTCTATTACCAGATTGAGCACTCACTTTAGCGTTTTACAATAAAAGTAAATTTTCAGAATAATGATATAAAATCATTAAATTTTTTGTCACCTAAATTATTTCACTATTACAGATTTTTATTTTATTAAAGATTCGCCGATATTTTAAAATACGTAATGGGCTTTAAATAAATTAATATGATTTAAATTTTTCCTATTCTTTGCATATTAATTTTTCGGCTATTAACTCATGCTTATTGATTGGAGATAAATATAATTTTTAAAATATCGGTCCAGTAAACGCTAGACTTCCAATCAATACTACCCTATAACTAATGATGCAGATAAACAAAAATATCTTCCTCAATATTGTAGAATTCTAATTTTAATAATACTACTCAATTTCTGCGGCTTACAACTTTTCACTTTATATTTGATCATTAACTATTGATATCCTTTTATTTTATTTAAATCCTTTGTTATCTTAAAGAAATATTAGCAAAAATTTTTAAATAGAGTCATCTCAAAATAGCATAGCTATTTATCCGTAATAAGGACATACGCCATAACCCCCCATACACACCACCATATGGGTAACCGCAATTTTTTTTATTCTTCTTTCTTAGATATTACATTTGAATTATAGCTCATTATACTATGACTTTCAAAAACTTTCTTTCTTTCTTTCTTTCTTTCTTTCTTTCTTTCTTTCTTTCTTTCTTTCTTTCTTTCTTTCTTTCTTTCTTTCTTTCTTTCTTTCTTTCTTTCTTTCTTTCTTTCTTTCTTTCTTTCTTTCTTTCTTTCTTTCTTTCTTTCTTTCTTTCTTTCTTTCTTTCTTTCTTTCTTTCTTTCTTTCTTTCTTTCTTTCTTTCTTTCTTTCTTTCTTTCTTTCTTTCTTTCTTTCTTTCTTTCTTTCTTTCTTTCTTTCTTTCTTTCTTTCTTTCTTTCTTTCCTTCTTTCTTACTTTCTTTATTTCTTTCTTTCCTTTTCAGAACTTATGATTTTAAATATTATGATTTGTTATAAATCTTATTTATCACAACATACAATTGAGAAATTTTTAAAAACCTCCAAATTAAATACTAAATATTATGCATGAATCTACTCTATTGAATGATTATTATACGATAAATTAATCCCAAGATTGTTATCATTATATTATATATAAGAATGAACAAATCTTCAGTCAGCAAGAATTTTGGCATGGGCATGTACAATAAAAATTTATTTCAAACGTCCCCAACCAGATACAGTCAAAAGAGTACCCTTTATAAGATTTTGCGACACCGCGACCGCCAAAACCTATTAAATAAATAAATGATGTAAAATTTATCCATCTCTTTTTAATTAAATTTAATTTGGCCAATAATTTATGTTAAAAAAAAGTAAAACTTACCACCACAAGGAGTATGAGTATCGAAGTGAAATATTTCATTCTTATCGCGAGTGTGTCTAAAATTAATTTTATTTTTGAAAAATAGGAATAAAGAGGATAACTACACACGATAAAACTCCATGATAACAACATCATAAAAGCAGAGTTGTGCCGATCCACGCATATTTCACTGATCCAATCCGATATTGGCTCAAACCCGATCCGATATTTATATTGATTTTTCACCACCTCCCTTTGAACCAAATGTAAATTAAGAAATCAATATCGAATTATGCATTTAATTTCAATTTTTTTTTATTTCTAAAATTAAGACTATAATTCAAAAAAAATAAATATTATTATATATTTAATATTATATCCAATTAGTGTTGTTTAATGGCTCGTATTGAACTTGCTTTTTAAAACGGCTAACTCAATATTTTAACCAGAAAATAATTCCTAAGCCTAAAGATTTTAATATATTTTTCTGGATGAAATATCGAGTTAGACACTACATTTGATGTTTGTATGAATTATAAAATTGTAATATTTAATATATAAAATTATAATATATTATATTTTTTTTAAAATAAATATGAGAAACTCTAGATTTTCTGGCAATAAAAGAATATAATTGGCATTAATTATTTAAATTTTTAAAAAAATTAATAATATTTAGAAGAGGTGTTGTGCATTTGCATTGTTTATAAAAATAATAGTTAGAAAATATTATAATAAATATATAAATAAATATACATGACATAAAATAACAAAAAAAAGTAAAAAGATCGGATCGGGTTTTTACGGGTATCGGCCCGTACCGATGGTACAGCCCTACATAAAATCGAAATTTGTTTCAAAAAATAATCATTTATAAGGTTAGTGACCATGGTAATTTTTTAGGAAATATAAAATAAATTTTCCCAAAATGATTTAAATCGTGAATTAGTTCCATATGGCTAAATGCAATAATGGTACTAGATAGGTAGTTATTTTTTAAAAATTAAGAACCTTTACAAGGAACTTATGGCATTATCTCCATGATAACCAGCTATGTCAGAGACAATGCACAAAAATATCGTTTAGAATTGTACAATTGCTGATTTTCACTATATTCAGATTAAAAATTGAGAATGTTTATGTTTAAAGACCGGTATATATAAGGTATTCCTAAGAGATTAGAAAATAAATATCTTTTATATGAAGGGGTTATTAAAGGAATTCATGATCTAAATTATAACTCTTTTTATATCAACAATAATTTGATAGTTGGTAGTAGAGCTAAAATAATTTAAGTTATTCTTTTTAAAATTTATGAAAGAAGTACCTATATAACTGAAAGGGAGGGTGTAATTAAAAATAGAAAAGGATAGCCACAGAAGGCGGCGAGAATTTTTCTAGGGGCTTAGGCATAGGTTTTTGAGGAGGGTTTGCATCCAGTGAAAACCCTGTCATGTAGAGGCTGCCTAAAACGATCAGAAAAATATTGAATTTTAACTTCTTAATGCCAAGATAAAAGACTTGATTGTCTAGATAAAAAAAATACTAAATTGTTCAGGTATAAAACTGAAACGTTTAGATTAAAAAAAATTGAATAACTCAGAAAATGGTCTTCGATTTTAAGAAAAAATATCTGTGGAGAGGCAAAGTAAATTCTGAGATTTTTAGTATTTTTTAAAAAAATTCTGATCAAGTGTTTCTTTAATTCTGAGCGAGATAATATAACCATAAAATATTTCTTATTTTTTAAATTGTGTTAAATGAAAAAAATATAATAAAATAATTGCATTTAACAAATCCACTAGTTATAATTATAATAATGTAAGGTAAAATAACCAAAATGGATATATATATTATTTTAGAGTTTTAATTTTCTAAATATTAATGTTTTTTGATAAATAATAATCACTTAATTATTTTTTTTATATAATTAACCTAAAATTACGAAGTCTATTTTAAATCTAGTTGCTTAAATGCTCCTTTTTTGAAAAGTAACGATAGTGCGATACTCTTAAGTAGGTAAGGGTAGAGCGCTTCTCTTAAAGAAATAGCGAAGAGGTAGCTGTAGAGCGCTACTTTGGAAAGTTTAACGTTTAACCAAAATACTGCACTTTTAAAAGGAATAAAATGCTATAAGTGTTATAATAATAATTCAGGTTAAAAGGAAAATGGTATACTTAAAAAAATTCGGGTCGGCAGAGACTCTGGTCGAGTTTAAAAATAATTAAATATATATATATCAGAGTTGTTAAAAGATACTTTTTAAATGGATCTAGATATAGATACATCGTCTAAAATAATATATAGATACAGATATTTTAATCAAAAATCTATCTAGATACAGATACCACATTTTTATATCTAGCTACTTATATCTAGATCCTCTGATATATATATATATGACCAGGGTCCGATTTAAAATTAAGACCTCTATGGGGCCTCCGCTATAAATAATACATAATTTCTTTTTCTTTACCTTCTTGAGAAAAACAGAATTGATGGATATTCCTTTTAATAAATTTTGAAAAAATATATAATCTTCTTAAATAGTTTTAAATGAAAATGTTTGCCTTAATGAAGAGAATAATAAAAAATATTATAAATAATCCAAAATATTGTTTGTTAGTAAATATATAATTAGTTAATAAAACATTTATTTTATGCCAACTAAAGTATATTAGGTTTTTTTTTTGTAATTTTAGTAATAATTAACAAAAAATTATCATAAATATTTCTTAGATTATAGAAAGAGATGTCACTGAAAGAACGGAGAAATTCAATTTTACAAAGGGAATAATATATTCCTATTTGCCTGTGCAAAGGGTAAATATATTGGATCACTTCTCGTTTAAAGTGTTTAGATCAAATATTTGTGATTAAGAATTTTTTAAACACGCGATACGATTAGTGAAGGCTTACGGTTCTGCCTTTGGTCCAAACCGGGACCAAACACGCGGACCAGGTTACGGTAATCAAATAAAAGACCATCAGCCCATTAGTAAATTTAATAGCTGGTCTTTTAAGTATTTTTTGTTATATTTTTTAAAAAATAAATTTACGTTTTCTCATAATAAATAATACAAATATCAATTTAAAATTAAAATCACTATTTTTTTTTGACAAACTGAATCATAAAAACAAATAAGGTAGCTCCTCTAAAAAAGTAATATATAAAATAAAATATACACAAAAAAATAATACTAAAAAAATTATATGAATCTTTCTTTCTTTCTTTCTTTCTTTCTTTCTTTCTTTCTTTCTTTCTTTCTTTCTTTCTTTCTTTCTTTCTTTCTTTCTTTCTTTCTTTCTTTCTTTCTTTATAGAAATGCAATTTATAAAAAGTATCATAATTGCGTGTTTTTATTTATTGCTTTGAGCAGTAATTTATGCAAAGCCAGATTAAATATTTTGTTGTATAAAAAGGGTGGGGAGAGGGAATATCGTAATAATATAAGCACTAGATCATTGCAGATAAGTAACCGATCTGACAACACCGGATAGTTCGACAACCGGGTTCAGTATCTTATAATAAAATTTTGGTTTGAACGAATCAAACTATTTACATTAGAATAATAAAATTTGGTATTTGTGTTCGATTCAAATTTTTTGTTGAAAAAAAAATTATTTTTTTTTTTAATAATCTTGTGACAAAAAAACATGCAATTAAATTATTAACGAATGCCTATTAATTCAATTTATAAATGCCAGGCCAAATTTTATGGCCAAAAATTTGTCATATTAATATAATAATTTTAAGGACTGTCCCAATCAATTTTTTATAACCGTAAATCGAATTTTTAAACATAAGATTATTATAATAATCTGGTGACAAAAAAACATGCAATTAAATTATTAAAGAATGCGTATAAATTCAATTTATAAATGCCAAGCCAAATTTTAAGGCCTTTGTTTTATTTGATTATTGAATCGACCTCTTGTAAAATCGAATGGCCAGGAGCACCATATTTAATTTGAATTGTTTTGATTTGACTTGTCGTATTATTATCTAAATAGTGTTTTAAAGCATAAATTTTAATGGAATTTTTATTTTGGGCCACACAGGAATCAGCCCATAGTATTAGATGAGGGATAGTTGGAAATTTTTTATATCACATCTACTAATGTTATCACACTGCAAGCAATATTATTACCAGTTCTTCCAGTTTGGCCTTGCAAATAACACAATACCCACATTTCTTTTGACTATAATATGCAGTTTCATTATAAACAGACAATTTTCTTTTATTATATCATATCTTGGTAATATAACATTTTGAAGGTCAAATGATATGACTAAAATTTTTTTTGACTTACCTATAATTCTATCCATACCTCTTTCAATACTAGTTTCAACATAATCTTCATGATTTTTATTGTAATTACAAATATCCTGTTAATTCATATATTCTTTATTAATTAAATATCGTTCACATTTATCGCATCTTTCTTTAACTGGTTTAGCAAATCCATTATTAAAATTATTTTTAAATATTGTTGTGTAATAATGAGTTTTAACATGAATACTTGATAGTTCCTCACATTTTTTATAATATAAATCATAAAGTATTTTATAATTGCAACTTCCCTCAAAGTATTCCTTTGAAATATCTTTTCGCCTATAATGAGAATGCACCTTAGGAATTGTATTTATCTGATCAATGATGAAATCTTTATCCAGATCAGAAATAACTTTTTAGTATTTTTACCTTTTCTCGGCGCCTAATAAGTTCAAGTATTTTGGTATAAATGTTTAAAAAATAACTAATTCGTTTATTACTTATATCAAGTGTTTGTAAAAAAAATTGTCTGCAAATTCTAACTTTAACATTTTCCACTTCAAAAAAATATAAGTATGAATAGTTTTTATAATTTAAAGAATCTTTTACCCTTCTTTTACATGGAGACCTAACAATAAATTTGCTATAGAATGATCCCTTAGCTTCATCAGTTAAGCTCCAGAAAACTTTATGAATAATTTTTCTCTGATCTGCATAAATTTTTAGATGACATTGAAATATACATTTAATAAAATGATCATTCTGAACCATCCTTGCTCTTTTCAAATCACTTAGTCTTTTTTTTTCATATGCTTTGCTTCTAGAAATATTAAAAATTGTTAAATTTCATTATAAATATTAAAATTCAATTTTAATGAGCAAGTAATGCTTAATAATTTATTTAAATTATGAAAGTAAATTATTAAAAAATTGTTATGTATTTTCATTTTTTTTATGAGCTAGTTATGCTTAATAATTTATTTAAATTATGAAAGTAAATTATTAAAAAATTGTTAAATTTCATTATAAAGATTGTATTTTCAATTTTTATATGAGCAAGTAAAGCTTAATGAATTATAATTATGAAAGTAAATTTTTAAAAAATTACTAAATTTCATTATAAAGATTGTATTTTCAATTTTTAAATGAGCAAGTAATGCTTAATAATTTATTTAAATTATGAATGTAAATTATTAAAAAATTGTTAAATTTCATTATAAAGATTGTATTTTCAATTTTTATATGAGCAAGTAATGCTTAATGATTTATTGAAATTTTGAAAGTAAATTATTAAAAAATTGTTAAATTTCATTATAAAGATTGTATTTTCAATTTTTATATGAGCAAGTAATGCTTAATGATTTATTTAAATTATGAAAGTAAATTATTAAAAAATTGCTAAATTTCATTATAAAATTGTATATTTAATTTATATATGAGCAAGTAATGTTTAATAATTTATTTAAATTATGAAAGTAATTTATTAAAAAATTGTTAAATTTCATTATAAAGATTGTATTTTCAATTTTTATATAAGAAAGTAATGCTTAATAATTTATTTAAATTATGAAAGTAAATTATTAAAAAATTGTTAGATTTCATTATAAAGATTGTATTTTTAATTTTTATATGAGCAAGTAATGCATAATAATTTACATTATAAGCATAATTTAAAAAATTGTTAAATTTCATTTGTATATAAAAAAAAATTTACCTTGACATTTAATTTGGAATAGAGATATGGAATGAAAATATCTTACGATTCAATATAGAAAAAAAAATTAAAATAGGAGGGAAGACAACACGTGATTAAATATCATAATAGGATCGGCCATGCATATGAAGCAAAAAATACATCGTTATATGCAAATAGCGCAAAATTGACAGAGCTATAACTTTAGCAAAAATTAAGATTTTTAATCTAGTTTTTATTTATATATATATATTTGGAATAAATTAGTAATTATCCAACTAAAAAATTTTAAAAATGTTAAGTGGAGCACTCCAATTCTAGACCGACTGATAAAATTAATTCAATAATTCTTTAAGAAGATAATATACACGGTAAATCATAAAACTATATGGTGGGTTAGAGCATCCTCTTAGAAGAGAATATGGAGGTAGATACGTAATCGAAAAAATTATTGTGAGATTTTATATTTCTAAAATATTATTTTCCATTTCTTATGGTATATAAAAGACAGTTTACCTATATTGCTTATCTAAATTATGCAGTCAAATACTCTCAGCTAATAATTTTAAATTACATAGTCACACAAATGATAGTTGCTGGTTTTACGAAGTAAACTCAAATCAGAATTTATTATGTTAGATAAAAAGATAAAATGAAAACACTAAAAATCTTTAGAAGAAAATATTATGCAAATGAAGCCTTCAGTTATTTACACGGTAAGAATGTCATATTAGAAATGAAAAATATAGTTACTATAAAAAAAGGAGCAGTATGATATGATGAAACTAATTAAGATTTTATATCATTGTCGTACCACCTCTATTGTTATGCTTTAAATAAGAATTGTAATAATAAGAAAAACTTTAGAGATTCTTTTTACCTACAATTTTATGTATTATATATTATTTTACTATAAATAGTTTTTGAGATAAAAGCATTTTAAAAATTTTACAATTTCTAAAGTGCCTCTTTTTTGCATCTTTGAGTCCCTATATCTCGGGAACCGGGTGTGCTAGCTAGCTAAAACGGCTTTCTCATTTTCCTAACAATCTAAATAATACCAGAAATTTTTAACAATTTTAAAAGGGGCCGGCCGAATCGTGATCGATTTGACGTGGAATGGCCCATATATAAATTTAGCCATTAAGTTTTTTTTAATAATTGACGTATAATAATTTTCTTGGGTGGTTGTATATTCCTTGCTTCGTTTTGCTGGCAACCCATGGTATAGATCAATAAACATTTGTTGGGGGCTAAGCCAAAAAGTTATCTCGTCACTTATGGAAAAATTAGCTAAGTTTATAAATGCAATAAGGGAAATATTTAGCTTTTTACAAAATTTTTATGATTCCTAAGCATATATTTTTGATAATTTCTCCAAACATTTAAATGCATTATATTTTTCAGAGACATGCAGAGAAAACGATTTTCTAGGGCCTCTAATTTCCTTACAGAATTTTTTTTTATTGGCCCTAACCTAGAATCCTAATTTTAAGCCGGGCATAATTTATTTTTAAAATTTAAAATATTTTGGCTTATTTCATAGGGGAAATTTTATAGCTAATTAAATACAAAGATGGCCATAAAATTTGGCTTGGCAT